GTTTTTCCATTGACTTATAATGGGACAGCAAACACCTTGTGTTTCTATTCAAATCTTTTATTGTACATTTGAATCTAACTACAGCATGCCAACAGGGACGCAAACTTTTTGAGTTTAATAATGAAGGTAAATGCTAAGAAATTCTGTTTTGTAGATACGTTTTTGAAACCAAGGGGGTACAAACCTTTGCTCTCAAGTGTATACTGAAAAGGAGTGCCAAAATATAGCACAAGTACTTCTACTTCATGGTGCACAATTTTAACAAAAAAGTGCAGTAAAATCATTTAAGAATTGACTTAATCTAAATTCAATGTAACCGTGACCTTTTCGTGAGACTTGTGGATCATAAATAGCCTAATCTGCAGTCATAACAAAGCTGGATAGTGGAAACCTGTAGACTAGAGGTGTCAATCAGGATTGGGAATCCACAGGGCCCACTGGGATTGGAAGTGGGATTAAAAAAACAGTCCTGTGCACATCTCTACTGGAGACCGTGTGATCCTTCACTACAGTGTCAGTGTCAGTGCTGTGCTGAAATTGATCCACAACACAAATTGGGGGGGTCCATCCCACTGATAGATGGAGTAGAGGGGGCCTGATACACTCTGATGAGCTTTCTGGGCTGATATTGCTTTTAGCTACTTTAGAGATCTAGTATAGCATAAATACACCAAGATAAAGACAACAATTCAAGTCTTAATTGTGACCGATACCTAGTTTAGCTAAACTGTATAGGAATATTACAGGCATCGCAAACTCAGAAAACTGAGGCAGCATCATTACTGCCAAGCCCTCAGCACACACAAATCTTTCCATGTCCGCTGGTACTATGAAAAGGTAGATGTAGAAGTACAAATGGGGCACGTAGTACAGCAGCAAGATCACCTGAATGCTCAGAATGATCCCGAAGGCTTTCCTTTTAGCTGGGTTGAAAGTTTGTTTGCCATATCCCGGTCCGCTGGAAGACAGGACTTTCAGTGTGGCGGTGTTGAGGAACATAATGGGAACGATTGCGATGTAGAACAACACTGTGAGAACGGGTTGAAAAAAGTCAATTTCGTAAACGATAATGGCTACATCCATGGCCAAGGCGTAGAGCCAGCCGAGTGTGATGACCGACCACTCCCAATGGCGCAAGGTTTTGGCAGTCATGTAGGTCACTGGATGAACGATGGCTAAGTAAAAGATCACACAGATGGCGAGTAAGAAGATGGGCCTTGCTGTTAAGCTCGGGATGTTGAACAGGTTGTAAAGGATCATAGAGAACTGAATGACACAGATTAATGAAGTTGATTTGTAGGAGAAAGACTTCAGCTGGTGAGAAGCTCTTTGCTTTATATATTCTGCTCAGAAGTATTAAGATAACAGCAATGGTGGTGGGAAAGCTGAAGAGAAGCAGAATAATGTCCATCACAAAATAAATGGTAAAGTAATGCTCGCCGCAGAAGCTGACAGTCCAGTTTTGCTGTTGGTTGAGCGTCAAATTGTCCATTTCTGTCTTTTTTCTGTCCACGCAGTCCTTTTATTCTTTAATAGACCTTTTCATCTTCAAAAATTGTATGTGACCAGACAACATGGGTGGCAAACATTTTATTTCATGACCCAATAAAATCCCGCCCCTTTTTTCCATTAACATATAGATGCAAAGACAACAGATGAAAGACTGTCATTAGTCACTGGTGTCAACATCAGTGGTTTTCTCTTCACTGCCGTGGAACATTAATGATCTGTGACTACTGATTTGAATGTAAAAAACATTGTGAGCATTGTCATGCCTGTGGATTTGGATTTCATGTGCAAGCTATGAACACGTTAAATTTACATAAATTGTCATCTGTTCTGTCAGCCGTGTGTGATATGTTCTCTTGTGGTTAAATTGTAGCAGGTTCTCGGATTAAGTAACATTTGATTTGAGTATGTGAAATTCGCTGCCCAGAAAAAAGAAATACACTGTCTACAAATGAGGTAAGAAGAATGCTGCTGAGGACACACACACACACACACACACACACACGAAGCCACTGGAGTGTTATTTTAACCCATTTCTACTATCAGTATAATCAATATAACAAATGTTATTACACCATTTAGTATTAGCCCTTATTTGTCCTATTCTAATCTCAGAACCTAGGTTATACAGTAGAATATGTTAAAATGGTAAAATATATAAATATACTGTGATGTGACAATAAATCGAGATCAAATCATCTCTCTTTAGTAGAAATAGGGACTGAAGGTTAATATTATTAGACAGATTAATATTATCCATTATTAACTAAATAACCTTATCTATTGAATCCTATATATATTATAATTCATTAATAGGATAGGATATTTAAAATGTTTTTTACTTATAAAAAAAAAAAGGCCATATATTCAATTTTCTATATCAGTAACTTCAACATCAACATCAAATCATTCTATGATTCTAGATGTTGTTGAAATAATACAGTAATACAATTACGTCCATCGAGGCAGGTAAATGTTTTAAATGTAGGATTTTATTCGGTGTAGAGCAGGTGGTGTTCCTTATTTTAATATGTTGAAGGTGGAAACCCTACTCCGTAGGCAAGTCCCTTGCGTTGTTGTGCGTGTTGGCTTGCAAAGAGTATGTAAAAGGACTTAGCTTTAGTTTGCCCATGCTTAGTTCCACATTATGCAGCTTGATTTATTTATGTCATGGCCTTTAGCTATACGCGTGTTTAATAAAAACAATAAATTTCGGTCTATAATGGCATTTCGGTGTATAACGAGTGTTAGTGATTTGGCATTTATAGAGTTTTTTTTGGTCAAATCCATTTTTGATTCATAGCTCTGCCATTGCGAATATTACCAGAGTATGGTTAGTGTAATCCATGTTACATATTGTTCATATTGTTCACATTGCAAAAACAAATCACACTCAACTTGGATGCAAATGGTGTAAAATCTGTAAACTCAAAGTGGGATTTAAAAGGTACCGAATGGATGTGTGAATAATCTGTAGTAACTGCTCTCAAACATCAAAATCACAATAACAGATTTCCGAAAATTTTGCAGATTGCAGATTTTTAAAATGACAATTTCAGCACTGCATTCATAGTGTATTAAATTTAAAATAAACTAGACATTCCGCCCAACAATCTGATGTCCACCAGTTACAGAAAATAAACTTGTTTATGTGTATATTAAAATATGTGCTGAATAAAGAGGGATACAAAAAGTGACAGAGACTGTGAGATGTACAGTCCATATATATATATATATGTGTGTGTGTGTACAAATCTAAGTGTACAAATATTTCATCAGTCCGTGTGTTTGTCCACTACAGTGATCTTAGCAGAGCAGAGCGCCTCCCCGTGGACGTTGGTGGCTTTGCAGGAGTACGTGCCACTGTGCTGCAGGGTGACGCTGTCCAGTGTGAGGACACAAATCCCATCTTCCTCATAATCCACCTGCACACAGCCGTCCTGCTCCTCTAGCACCTCACCATCCCTCAGCCACAGCACTTCAGGGTCTGGGTAACCTGTGACACACACACACACGCACACACACACACAGAGAGAGAGAGAGAGAGAGAGAGAGAGAGATGGGAATTGGATTAGAATGGCTTTTTTTGTTATGTTTTTCTGTACACAACTTGATGGACCAGTCAGTGTACTTTAATAACCACTGAAAATGAACTAACGTAGACATAAAAAGAGATAAATATCTACAAATATGGAAATATATAAAAGGTCCTTTTAGCACTGCTTGTGCAATATATTTTATGCACTGTATTTTTAAAAAAGTGTAAAAAAAAAAAAAAAAAACTCAGATCTGGACTTGATTTAACAAGCATGAGAATAAATGAGCACTTCTGTCACTTGCTCTGGATAAGGGCATTAGCTAAATGCTGTAAATATAAATGCGAATGTAAATGTACGATCCTCACAAGAGACAAACGTGTGTGTATTTGATGATGGTAATGTGTCTAACCGGTGACGTGGCAGATGAGCTGCGCTGTGGAGTCCTCAAAGACCGACAAGTCAAACGGCGCCTTTATGAACTCAGGTTTCGCCTGCATCCTCTCCTCCAGGGACTTGAGGACATCCTCTGTATCTGCAGCAAGGACAATACAGATCCTATCATCAACTGGGGGAAGAAACTCACTGGCACAAAAAGGCTTTTATTAAACACATCCACCGCCTCATAAGAGGTGCTTGACAAAAATACACACACTTAGGCCAAAAAAAAAAAAAAGCATGCACAATACTAAATGTTCCAAAGTTTGTTTTTTTTTCTCTTTAACAGAGTGACTCCATTAACCTTTAAAATATAAAGTGTATGAAGAAAGGCTTTGTTCCACTGATATACTGGTGAGATCAAGTTCTGCAAGTTCTGCTGACATAAAAGTCAAGTAAAAATAGGACAGCTTTTAGAAAAATAATCACCAGGGGTTTAGAATGTTTAGTGAACATCCAAGAGCTCAAAGTGCTTTCACACAAACACACACAAAGAATACAGACTAATCATTCATCTTTAAGTAGCTCCTTGAACCTGCATAATGGAAACTCTTAATATAAACTGTCTAAATAAACTGAGATTTCCAGGATTAGTTACACTTTGGATCTACAGTAGTTGCTCTGGACTGAATTTAAGCACCACTTAATTCCTGTCTGCTTAGAGAAGAAAATAAATACACACAGCAAATCAAAGAAGATCCGTGGCTCTATTTTCAAGCCAGTGCAAGTTAGGAGTAGCAATGACTAGTCGATGCTGTGGAGACCTGGAGACTAGTCGGGCAGCAGACAGTACAGAAATGCACTTGTAACTGTTAGTCTGAAAACACGTAAGACTAGATACGACTAGATAAAATCAATTCTTCAGCCAACTACACTTGCTTTTAAGTCTCGGTTTTGGACACTACTGAGGGTAATTGAATACGGTGCTAAAACCTCCCAGATGCTCCTGCAGGCATCACATCCTGCAGCCATCATTCTGCTAGGATTTTTTATCATCATTAAGCTCTAAGGAGTTTGTCCCTGGAGGACTAGTGGTTAGGCCACAGCGCTTTCACCACTGCGGCCCGGGTTCAATTCTCGCCAGCGAGCCGACCCCAGCCACTAGGGTTGCGTGCAGCAGTGCGCTCTCAGTGCCGGTCCCAAGCCCGGATAAAATTGGGGAGGGTCGCGTCAGGAAGGGTATCCGGTGTAAAAAAAACTGTGCAGAATCAAATATGCAGACCAGCGATCCGCTGCGGTGACCCCTAACAGGGAGCAGCTGAAAGAGGAACGAGCTGCCAGCTCATATATATATATATATGTTGCCCATGTTCGGCAAGCTCTGCCCCCAGGATCTAGTGTCTATAAAATGACTGATGAATGACAAGACCGACAGGCGGCCCATCCAAACCCCAGCAAGCATTCCGAACCAGAAGTCAGCTTTCCACTGGGTTTTCTCAGCTGCTTAATACACTTGTGCTGAGGCCATGGCTTAAACAGTTATTTTTCACTGTCTTCTACATATTTTCCAGGTAATTTTACAAGTAAGAAATTTTTAAATAATGGACTATTGCACATTTAACAGTGTAAACTAAAAAGGCATTGATCCTAGAAATGTAATCTGTAGTCTGTGTACAACTGCTAATGAAAATGCACTTTGCTTTTTTGCTTTAACTATGGAAAAGACAACAAGTCAACTACATCTGCTGGTCAACTAGTAAAAGTTAGTAGTCGTGCAGCCCCTAGTCCAGTGTAATGTGCTGACAGAGCACCGTTGTGTTGCTCACTTGAGGCACATGAAGCTTTTTTCCTCCAAACTCATTATAAAGAAAGAACATAACGAGAAACTTTATGGGTCATTCTGATGATAGTACACAGTAGCTATGACCTGTAGTGTGAGGATAATTTGGTCTTTGTAGGTCTGATCATGGAGATACATCACTTGCGATTTGCAGCGCAGTGGATTTTTTAAATCTCACTTTGGCCCAAAATTGTGCTTACATTATCTGTGATTTCTACTATACACAACAAGTGTCTTTTTGTGTAAAAGCTTGATCAGTGAGTCCTCAAATTCTCAGGAGAGTTTTATGATACATGGTTAATGACACGCATCATTTCACGTCAGTCTTTAGCAGCAAAAGATCACAAACGCTGGGGCAGCACAGCTACCATAGCACTAATAAATGGACATATTTTAAGGGTAATGCACCTAATACTAACATTCTAACACATACCGTGTCTATGTTTAAGTCATACGTGTGTCCTATAGACCAGAAACTCTTAAGAAGATGAAATTATGTGTGGTTAGGGAGAATATGGTGTAGTAGGAATGTGAGTGTATTTACCATCCACAGGGCTGGTGAGAGTCACAGGGCTGTCGGATTTGGACAGCATGGCCATCCTCTTCAGAGCCAGCATGGCTTTGCCTGTTTTCTGCACACAAAAGCAGATGACAATAACCGTCTCTGTTACTCCCTACAACAGTGATTCATAAATGTGTTCAGCTACAGTACCATCTTTCACTGATCTTTTACTCCAGGCACTCCTTCACCAGATTTTTTTTTTTTTTTAAGAAAATGGGGAATAATGGAGAAAGTGAGACAGTTAGTTTGAAGCCTGAATTAAAATCTGAAGCTGATTTATTAAACCAATATTCAGATATAAAGATGTGATGTTTTTGGAAAATGATCAGCATGGAGTGATAACCCTTTGCCGAGAACGAGCTTTCACAAAGTTAGCTATATCCAAAGGCGAGCACAGGTTTCTGAGGTTTTCTCAGGAAGCAGATTGTGGTTCTTTTCTGAAACTGTAAGCAGGACTTTTCTTTTTCCCTCAGGGAAGGATTGTAAATCAGGTTAGCGAAGTGTCCATCCAGAATATTCTCCTACTTCTTATAACACGATTAAGTCATTTTTTCGCTCTCCGTACCTTTGCTGGAGAGGAATTCCATCAACCTGAGGAAAACAAGCTATCTGTAGCCAAAAAAAAAGTCGGACACTTTGAATCTCAAAGTTTTTCTCAGTATGAATGAATTCTCAGTACCTTCCACTTCTGCCTGGCTAAGAACTTCTTCATCTTGTCTTTGGAGAGGTTCTTGGCAGCGCCGGGATCTGCAGACTCTAACGTCATCGTCCAGGAATGAGACAGAGCTTCCTCACAGGACATCCGGTGCCTGTGTACCGAGAAGACAACGTGTTTCCATGTGTGTGTGCTCATGTGTATGTGTGTGTGAGAGTGTGTCCCAATGGCCCTGTGTCTAACCTGACATTTTTCTGCAGTAGGGAGCTGATAAAGTCTTTGGCTTGATTTGTGATATCCTCAAAACTCTCCTCGTCAAACTCCCACTGGGCCGCAGTCACTAAAGCCAGAGTCTCTGTATCGCTGTCTCCCTGGAATGGAGATTCACCACTCAACCTGTACACACACCGCATACAAATAATATCAATTACTATCATTATTATATTATCATTATTTTACTCATGCAATCATAATAGAAACCACTAGATGGCAGGCGAGCAAATGCCTTTTTTTTTTTAAATTTAAAAAAAATTTTTTTTAGATTTCCTTGAAACTAAACAGAGAAAAGAAGAGAAATCCTGGCTATGGATCCAGTGTGACCCTGAGCGGGATAAAGACGTTCCTGAAATAATTCTGCATAATGCTTTTGCAGAAAGAGTAACTTGCGGTTATGTTTTAGCACCAGTATACCGTAGGTGTGTCTGTGTCTGATGGTATGCATCTGTTCGTTCATCGGTTTAATCTTCAGGAATACAAAACTAACTGGATTTACCTGTTTGTATTGTCTGCATTATATTGTATCAGCATGTGAACTTCAACTTTCACCATGTTCTCTAATGTCACTGTCACCTACACCTAACATATTCCGCTGTCATGTGTGCTCAGAGCTGCCAGCAATGTTCATTAGAAGAATCAGGCAGAGAGAAAAATATGTGCCAAGCAACAGCAAGAATGTCAAACTCTATTTAATAATCAGCTCCTCCACTTTCTCTTTTTTTAACCAGCCAAAGACACTGAAGAATGTTTATTAGCGTGTTCATGATCGCTGGCTGCTTCACCGCTGGTTTTCAGCTCTTGATGATCTTAAGATGATTTGGAACTTCGTTGATCAGGCATTCAGTGACGTATAAAGGTGCTGTACCATCCAGCGATTCAAAAACCAGTAATAAACCTTCTAATCAATTCCAAATGAATATATTGACTATAAAAAATTCAGTTGTAATGGAAACAGGCGGCTAATACCGTGACGCTAAAACTGGTTTCACATGAGCTTGTTTTCTAGAGTGTTAATAGTCTTGTTGCTGCATGTTGCACAAGCTGTAGTTTGTTTGTTGAGGTGTTGGATGTCCTGTGAGCAATTCATTACACTAGTCAAAGCAAGAAAAAACAAAAGCATGGATCAATCTTGTAAACAGAGATAGGAAGTGTTTCCATTTATGGCCAGAAATCCACCATACTGAAACACACACACAGTTGGAACTTACAATATATAGCAGATCACTCCAATGCTCCACATGTCTGTGGTCAGACACACAGGTTCATAGTTGATGACCTCTGGAGCCACAAACTCAGGGGTTCCATGCATCACCTTCAGAGGAGTGGAAGAGTCTGACACACACACACACAAACACACACAAACACACACACACACACACAAACCTTCTATTCAGTCATATGACACTGCAGCCAAACAGACTGCAATAGATTACATTATCTCTGCTTCATATCACGAAGGCACCTTGTGTCCACACTGACACTTGTATGCAATCGCCCACATGCTCCCTCACACTGACCCGTACACACACTGACCCGTACACACATTGACCCATACACACACTCACCCAGCTTGCTGGCGAGCCCAAAGTCGATGATCTTAATCCGAAATCCGGTTCTGTCCTCACATACAATGTTCTCTGGTTTCAAATCCAGGTGCACGATGTTCTGCTGGTGCATGTACTGAACTCCCTGGAGGATCTGACGCATGTAACCAACACTCGATTGCTCCGTGTGCTCAAAGTTATCATCCACAATACGCTCAAAGAGCTCCCCGCCTGCAATGCTACACACACACACATACACAAGCATGCATAAATATTCGATTCAGCTCTAAAATAATGATAAAGTGAAGACCTGCATCAGCCACGTGATCATGGAGGTGCAGCTGGGGAAGTTGTCCCAGGCCTGTGTTTGCTGGGTGTTTGTTGGGAGACTTGTTTGATCAAAATATGCTGCTCAAAAGCAGGTTTTATGGACAAACATCCTGGTCGGAGTAACAGCTCCTATCTACAGGATTATGTGATATTGTGCCAGCGTCAATTTTTTTATTATTTTTTTTTACCACTACTGTGTGTACTGTATTTTCCACGCTACCATGCCTGTTACAACTGCAGTATTTATTGCAGTTTGTATTTATTATCTTGGAATTATTTTATTAATTTGAGAACTCAAAACAGTAAAATATAAGCATGATAGTATACATTATATCGCGCACACACACACACACACACACACAAAATGATTTCATGAATGAGACTTGTGTGTGTGTACAAGTTACTATCAGAACAAGATATAAAAATTTTCCAAAAAATGCAAAATAATAGGATGTCCTGGATCAAGTGCTATTTTATAAACTGGGTGGAATTGAAAAAAAATTTGCCGTAATTAATGTGACAATTACGATGAGGACTATTCATGCAGCGCTATTTTGTAGTATACTAGACTCCTGTTAGATTTATTTCAGTACTTGTCATCTTCTCATTCGTAGATCATTATATTTGTATTCATTTTTAAAATTCTTCGTTGCTTTTGTTACATCATTACATTTGACAGCACAGAAAAAACCCCACTATTTCTGTATTTAGTCTGGATTGTCTATCCCTGCTTTTTTTTGGACAAGTGCTTGTGCTTAAAGGCAGTGATCTATACGCTTTTGGGGGAAAAAAACATCTCTGCTGCTTCTACTCAGAAAAAGTCTAGCAACCATGGAGGTGTGAACTACTCTACACACAGCTAAACTGCATAATCTGGATCGAGAGCTCAGCACCTGCATAAACAAACTCTGAATATGTGTAAGTTTCCCTGAGTAAATCCT